AAAAAACAAAAGTATTTTTTATTTTCTAAAAATAACTATCAGTTTTAAAAAAATTTTCAAAATTTTTTTACAAAAAATTTTTTAAAACTATATAGTTTAGAAATTTGTATAGATCCCAGAGGCTTTATAAGGCCGTTATGTAGTAAATAACAAAAGTGTAACAACATAGTCAATAATTTGGCCAAAATTTGGTCAAAATTTGTACTACAAAATTGCAGATCTTTACCAAAAAATAAAATGATCTGCATTACACAACTTTAAAAAATCCCTGACTGTATTGCTAAACCCACGATCAACAGAGTTTCTAGTATAGCTCTTAATTTGAAAATAATACTCAATTTCTTGAAATATTTGAGTATCACAAGCCCAAAAAAAATACCAAAGAAGGCATAAATTTTTATTTTGCTCTCCACAATTATCTGCCTATAATTGGATTTTCTTGGCTTTACCTGCTATAAAAGTAAGAAATAAATTTACCATTGAAGTAACTTTATTTGCTCCTTTTGAAGCTTTACTTTTAGTATAAATCATATATCAATGCTTACTAATTCTTTTATCAACTAAACTAAACTAATATACTTTCAATAATAATAAGTAATACCATCTTCTAGATTGTTGAGAATCGTGAGGCAATTCTACATTTTGAGCAAAATCAAACGAAAAGACATGAAACAAAGATTAGTCACAATCTTTTGCTATTTTTACATCATCTTCATAGATCTCTCTTATTTTTTGGTAGTCTGATATATGGTTTGCTAGCTTTTCATTAAGATCCTCATTTACATAATTAATATTTTCATTTAATGCATGCTTAAGCAAAGTGCATTCGTCATATACATCCTTAAATAGTTTTCGAATAGTAATTTTATTAAATTCAGAATCACCTCACTATATTTTTCATAAAGTTAAACAACTTTTAATGCATCTATCTAGATGTATTAAATTATAAGCAATAAGAAAACAATCATATGAATAGTGAGAAGGGAGAAAAGTTACATCATATTTTTTATAAGTTATAGTTATTTGTCTAATTGTTTTTTTCTGTGTATACTTTCGAATAACTAATGCCTCACCATGTTGTTTTCTCATCTCTTGAATAAAAGATTTTGCATTATTAATTGTTTTAACAGGTAAAATATTTGCAGGTATACAGCCAATATTACTATAAGGTGAAGGCAGCATCAATTTACTTTTTTTAACCTATTTATGGAGTCTATATAAGGCATTTTTTTGGCATTTCTAGAATGTCTTAAAGAAAAGAAAATATACATTACCAAAATATGGTAATTGATATTTAAGATAGACTCTTTTTTCTTTAGATACTTTATTATAAAAAGCAGCTATGAGTATTATTATCGATGATTGTCATTGTTTTTTATCTATTTGAAGAGATTTTAATGCTAAAGATTGTAAAAGATTTGAAGGAACTTTTTCGCTACATTTTCTTTTTTTACAGGTACAATTTTTTTTAAGCTTATCGATTAACTCATTCAAAGCTACCTGATACTCCTCAGAAATCTATATATTGTCTTCAGATTCTTTATCTGTAAAGATACTTTTACTAGATTCTGAATCTGATTCTTGATCAGTATCTATTTTTTTATCATAATCATAATCTTTATCTGTAGTATCAAGATCTGACTCATAAGATGCGTAATCAAATAAATTGTTAAAATTGTGGGCAACGATATTAGAAATTTCTATAATTAAACAATAGAGACACAGGTTTTACTTAATAAAAATGATAGATTGTATAGTGAATGTTTTATTTTTTTATAAAATAAATTCAAGACTTTCAAAGGTTCTTTTAAATATTTCTATAATTAATTGAATTATTAAATTACTGATAATGGCTGACATCAATATTAATTTTGTCAATCTAACTCTATTAAGATAATTGAAACCCAAAGTTGGTAATTAATAAATTCAGCTGAATAAAAAATAGCCATAGGCGATATTAGTTTCTAATAATTGCTTAACATCCTATATGTATTAAATCAATATAAAAAAAAATATAAATTTTTCTAATTTAAATATAGCCGTAAGAATGAAAAACAAAAAATGATATGCTTAATTTATTACAAGATGATGATATGCATTTATCACAGGATTATGGTGTGCTTAATTAAAATTTATCGGTAATCAGATTAGTAAGCAGAATTTCTAAAAATCAAGAATTCACTGTTTTCCCTTGTCAATACCCAAATATGTATTTTAAAATATATATTCTTTTTTTTTAGTATAATAATACTAGTAGTCTAATTAATTAATCACTCTATTTAAAAATTTATTATTACTTAGTTTTTTAATCTTAAATTTTATTTTTAAATTTGTTTTTTTTGTAATATTATTAAAAGTTTTTGCTACTTCTTTACTTAGAGTTTTTTTAAACAAATTTTTAATTATTTTAATTTTTTGATTTTTATATATACAGTCAGACCTCCCTAAATGCAACCCCCCTAAATGCAACACCTCTCTAAATGCATGATAAAAGACTAG